AATGGTTCCAGACACGGAACAATCTGTTGTAGCCAGCTCCCACGAATTCGTTTGAGATCCGGGACTGTGTGGACGCCTGAAAACGCTGATACGCTGATGTAGGTCTGTGCGCCTCGAAGTAATTCATCGCCAAAACGCTAAGAGGCTAGAATATGTCCATTCGTATAAACGGTCTATGTGTACAACCTGCAGATATACAATCTCACAAAAGTTTAATATGAACCATCTCCAAGGCGATAGAACCATTAGCAAAACACCCCTCTATCACAGAAAGAACACATATAATCCACTGAGTCATGTCCTTTAGTCCGACAGAAGCTGAACCGCATCAGCGCACAAGAGCGAGCTGTTTTTTGAGCGCTCAGTTTATGCAAATTAGCCATGTGATTTTAAGTTTTGTTCGTGTGTAAAACGTAAACAAACATGCTCAAAGCTGTGTGGAAAGGAAAGGCTTGCTGCCACAGAAACAACGTGTCTGGACGCAGATAATTTCGATACGGTGATACGGCAATACAGTGATTCGTTTCAGTGTAAACATAGCCATAGAAGCCTACCCCTTTAGCTTGATTTGACTTGCTAACTTAAACACCCTAACTCCTTTTTAACTCCTTTCTATCTCCTAGTTTTTCTTTGTTGCTATAGAGAGCAATGTTCTGAAATATAACTTTTTTACGACCCCACGCAGTTGTTTAGTCACTCATTTATATCTCTTGGTCACAGCTGCTGCCACATCAGCCCTCATCATTAGCGTGTTTGCGATGACACCGCTCGGGCTAATTGAAGCTGCCAGATTGCCTGTGTAGTAGTTTGGTCTTAACACGTCCCCAGTGTAGCATGTTCCGCGCTATGCTAATCTGCCCGCCGCACTGTCGCACGACTCAGGTACAAAAAAGCAGGTTGTGTTATGCGCGCTATGCTAGCGGGAGAGTGGGTGAGACTTTTCCCCAGACGTGCATTGGGTCCTTGCATTATACACGGGCGTGCTCTCGGCTGGTGTCACGGTTATTGCTTCGTACATCAGCAAACTGGCAGCGGTCCATTGTCAGTATGGGACCACAACAGCAAGTTTGCAAGTTTTCTAGAACTTGCTAGCACGACTATCTTATGTGATGAAGGTCCTGTCTGTGCTGGATGAAGTACTCAGTTTTGTTACGTAATGAAGTACAGATACATGGGCAAACAGTTACTCAACAGTGTCATGTGAAAAAATACACTTAGAGTAAAACTAGCAGTAGGCTTTTAATTATTTTGTACTTTTTGAGTGCCTCAGTTTTTTCGGCTTTGTATTTGAGACTGGTCCTACACTGAAGAGCACTGAAAGAACAATTCTGCACAATTTCTGTATATCCAAGTACCACTCCTGCCCCACCCAAACTATTGAAGTACCGCTTTAAAAATGTACTTAAAGCGTAAATATTTTAGAACAATTAAAGCATCAAATAGAGTGATTTTGATCAAATCTTTGGTTGATTTTAAGGGATTTAAGGGATTGTGTTATTTTTAGCTGCTTTTTGTGTTTTTGTGCATTTGGTTTGCTCAAAGTTGGGACATTAACTCAAATTAAATGGTCTCAAATTATAAAGAAAAGTACTTTCATACTTTTCAGTCCAGATCTAAAATATAGTAGAGTAGAAAATAGTGAAGTAGAAGTAAAAAGTATCTGTACTGTACTGTAAAATTTACATGTACAGATACCTAAATAAAGTATTGCACTTTTACTTTTGTACTTTGTTACTTTCCACCACTGGGTCCTATGTTACGCAAAATTTACTCTTGTGAGCTTTAAGTCATGTTAGAATGTTGTTATCTCATCAAAAACATATCTGGAGTTGTGTTTTGTTTCATTCACGCACATTCTGTCTACCTCTCCAAAGCTCAAAATGCTATGTTCCACCGTGATGTCGCAAAGCTGTAGGTTTCAAGTCAACAGCTACATTCTTTTCCTTTAATTCAGTACAGATTGGCAATTCCAGATCTGAAATCGTCCAGATGATTCTAGTGAAGGTGTATGGAGTTTAAAAACACAGTGCAGGACTTCCTGTATTACCACATGACATCACAAGATGGAACAGAGTGTGTGTTCTGTTTGAGAGAAGAACTCAGTCTAAATACGCAGGGTTTGTGAGTTAAACTTGTGTGAATGAAACAAAATACAACACCAGCAACGTTTCTGACACCATCACAGAGATCAGAAAATAGCGTAATTTAGACCCTTTAACTCTCAGTAGAAGTTCACCTCTTGGTCAGTCCATTTCCTTATTTTCTAGTGTACTGGAGAAATAATAACGCTATAGGAATTCAAAATAGTTGGCACACTGTCAGTATGAGACGACGACAGCAAGTTCGCAAGTTTTATTATAACTCGCTTGCCCGACTATCTTCTGTGATGACTATCAGTAGAAGTTCACCTCGTGGTCAATCCATTTCCTTATTTTTTAGTGTACAGGAGCAATAATAACGCCATAGGAATTCAAAACAGTGTGTGGAATAGCAAAACGCAATCTTCCAAAAGTTTGCTTAAAGTTGTTTTCTCATTTAAAAGTTAGGCTAAAGAAATTCATGCAATTTCAGCTGTTTGCAGAAGCACAAAAACTACTTATGGGAATTGAGATTAATTTGCGGAATAGTGAAATGTAATTTGTCTTTTACAAATGGTTACGTTTTTTCTTCTCGAAAATTGAAACTGGAAATTCATAAACAGCGTTTCCTGAGTTTTCAGAGATGAAGGTAGACATTCGTAAAGAAAAAAAGATTATAAAACAACAATGAGACCGGCGACACTTAGATAAATAACCAGAAGCTAAAGCTGTAAACTAATTATGATGATATGTATTTTTTGAGCTGATACAATATCCAATATTTGCCTGCTGTTGTCGTCCACAACAGATATTTGCAGATACCAACATTAACCCACTGCCAAATAGGGATGTAACAAGATCAAAATCCTTCTATGTGACATTTTTGGTTAGATATTTATTGTGATGTTTTGTGGAGGCTAACAAAATTGTGAAAAATGTCCTTTTAAAAGCCTTGAAAAGCCTTTGGTACTGTTATAAAATGACAAATTAAGGTTGTAAAGTGCTTAATAACAGTTATTTCTTCATGTAGTCTGCTCTGACAACAACAAAGGATCATGGTCTATGTAGTTCCCTTTGGATTTTAGCTACTGATGCACCAAGACAAGGCAAGGCAAGTTTATTTGTACAGTACAGTTCACACACAAAGTAATTCAAAGTGCTTTAATAAGAATAAGAAAGACATTCACATCACAAAGAAAGACATAAAACCTCTGATTTTGTTGTGAGACTTTTGACGATACAATAGACGATATTTGGGTTATTGTTACATTCCTACTGCAAAACTTACAAATGTATCTTAAAGTGAGACTAAACTCTGTCCACAACCAGATTTCAAATAAAGCTGTGAAACTGGGAAGTGCCTGTGGACTAAAAAAAAAAAAAACTGAGATTGGGAGGAGAGACTTGGTTTGAAGGTATTAGAACAGTGTGATTGGTATCAACAGATATCCGCACTCCAAACTGTACTCCTGTAACTCCCTGTAGTCGAGCGTTTGTAATCAGAAACCCCAACCTTCAATCAGGGCAGTCTTTTGTGATGTCACCAACTACTGGAAATAGCAACACACAGTTAGAAGTAAACTTTTTTGACCAGAAAGCTCAAATTTGTCCTCACTAAAGTTACCAAACAAACACTAAGAACAGTAGATAACACTATTAAAACAACATATTCGCACTTTAGTAGTGAAAAAAAGACAGACTTAGTGTTTAGTTTTACTCTAGGTCGAAGTAAAGATAATAAATTCAAGGTGCGCTGTGTAACATTTTTAGTGAAAGGTTTGCCATTTGTTTGTCTCTATGGAAATGTTATTGCTTTGTCTAGAATGTCCCATAGTATAGATTAAACCGATCTATCAGGTTGCATTTTCCGATTTTTATGGTTTTTGCTTTTATTTTGATTTTACTGGTTTTATTGTTTAAGGACTGGTGTCTGGACTAGCAATTTACCTTTTTGTTGTCTTTATTTTATGATCTCTGTGCAGCACTTTGGAAACTGTTTTGTTTGTAAAAATGTGTTAAAGAAATGAAAGTGGATTTGGATTTGGACATTCAGATCTGTGGAGAGGTAGTCAGGCTGATGCCACCTAGTGTCTCCGCTCAATTTCATTTCTCTCCAGCGACTAGGTCAGGAATCAGAATACACTAGACGGTTCGTAAAAACCCTGGAAGTGCAAGTTCGGGCACCAGCCAATCAGTGAAGAGCCATATATTCTGTGTTTAAAGCCGGAACAAAGAGAATGTTTGGTGAATTTTATCAAGAGGAAAGACGTTATTGCCCTTCTTCCTATGGGATTCGGGAAAAGCTCAATATACCAGTTAGCCCCATCACGACCAAATAGCAGCGATTGGTTACATAAAAAAGTACCTGCTTACCATTGAGTGAACAAATTCTAACGCTGTGAGGTCAGACGGTTTCTACGAAGTGAAACCGGCTGATGGATCAGGCTAGTGGAGAGGCGCTCCTATTCACCGATGGAATTATTGTATTTTTGAGCAACAAAAACACTCTTAATGAATAAATGCTAGATGGATATGTTTAATGTCATACCATGGAACATTCCAGAGAAAGCAATAACACCTCCATGGAGACGAGCAGGAAGTGGACCCTCCAAAAGTTCCGTAGTGCACATTTAACTTTTCACTTTTGTAAAAAACTAAATGTATTTATCTGGGATCGATCATGTGCCAAATCTGATTTACTGTGGATAAACTGGGAATAATACAAGGCACACGCAGACTGGGATGGTTAAGAATATCGGAATCGAACATCAGCAGTACCCTTATCGAAAAAACTATCAATATCGGCCAATACTGACAATGGAACAGACATATTGCCCAGCTCTAGAGTAAAGTGCATGTTTATGTGACTCAATGGTAGAGCCTTTTAGCCTTCTAAGTCCTATGTTCCTCTTTGTGTTGCAGAAGGAGATTCCGTTGGAGAAGTCTTCGCCGGTGATTGCCAACCAGCCCGTGTCCATCAACCTGTCCCTGGAATCCCTGAACATGCTGAACCAGAGCCCCCCCATCAGCCTGTACTCGGACTCCACTCTCAGAGACACTGGGGACTGCTGCCGAGTGGACAAGCCCTGCTCCAAACCCGGGCCGGACCAGGCCGGATCTTTCGCCGACTCCCTCTACGACAGCTTCTCCTCCTGCACCAGCCAAGGGTCCAACGAAGTCTAGCCTGCGCCGATGGGTTGCGTTCATGAGTCATCATAAAATTCTAGAATCCCTGTAGTTTGAAATCGATCTGGTCAGAAAGCGATGTTGGAGTTTGCTGTGTAACGGTCTGATTGCAGATTTGTTGACCTGGCTTTGTATCTCTGTAATTACCGGGACTATCCGCATGAAACAAAAACAGGTACAAAGATCAACGTCTTTTCTATCAATCTATATAAACAAAAGTGAAATCATTTTTTGTCTGAGAAAGTGGTGCCAATCCTCAACTCTGAAGGTGACGCCAACAGAATAATACGGCAGGTTTGGGGACCCAATCTCCAACAAATAACGATAAGGTTTGATATTTATGGATCAGAAATTTTGATATTTCTTTCAAAAACATTAAATCTTCCAAAGAGTTACTCACGTTCTTGTCCAACATTTGAGATTAAGACAACTTCAAATACTAAAACGTGAACGCAACCTATTTCTGGACTCTGAAATCAGGCTAACTCCTTGATACTTCAAACTTCGTCTTTGGATGTTTGCGATTATTTTTCAACAAGTTTGGCCTGGACTTTGCGTATTCAGTTCTGAGCATGCAGTTTTATGCTTTGCTAGACCTCCAATGGATTAAAAAAAAAACACGAGACACGAAGCACTTATCGAAGCTAGAGGAACCGACTTGCAACTTCAAAAACCAAACCAGGACTTCCGAAACCCTTGTCAAGTCTCGATTGCTGCGAATCCTACCATTGCACTGTTGTTGTATAAAGTTTGTAAAAAGTGAGCAGTGACTATGGCGGAATCTCTACAACTACCTTGGATTAAACAGTTTTATCTTCCAGGAAAATCACATGGAACTCAAGGACTCATTTCTCACTGTGCTGCTAATTCTTTAATATATTTTTAGCGATTTTTCCACCAAAGGAGCAAGAAATCTTTGAGTCAGTCACAATGCGATTTTATGGGAAGCAGATTAGAATTTTCGGGTGTTTTTGCTTTGTGTTTATCATCTATTGATACTTAGCCTCAACCCCGCCCCCTATTGGTCACCCCTTTATACAACATTAGAATTAGATTAAAAAAAAAATTGAGATGAATTAACCATGTGGTAAGCCTCTATTTTATCTCTTTTATACGTGGCATTGAATGTATATAGGCCTATTCTATGAACTTTCTAGTCATTCAACCCTAACGCCGCTAATATTTATCCTTTTGTCTTTTTATTATCATTCTATTTTGTGTTTCTCTGTGTGAGCAGATGTAGCCTGCACTGGAAGACACTTTCTACTGTACACGTGCCGCTTTCATTCATTGTTCATCGTGTTGTCGTATTTGTGTGTCCATGGTAACACCTATTTGCGTTAGATCGTTTTTATTTCTAGACTTTTTTTCACTTCTCATTAAAGTAAGTATGATAAAAGTATAGATTATCGACCCTAAAGACAGATGTACAATACCAGGCAAAAGTTTAAGCACACCCACTCATTCACTGTTTTTTTTTTTTTTTCTTACTACTTTCTACATTTTAGAGACATCAAATATATGAAGCAAAATATATGGAATTTTTTAGTAAAGAAAAAAATGTTAAATAAATCTACTATTATTTTTCAATAAAGAAAAAGGTGGGTAATTTGAGGATTTGGTTGTAGAATATTTCCTTGCCAATTCCATACTTTTTCCATCACATATTTGATGTCTTTTAAACTTAAACTTAGAAAAACTTTATTGATCTAGAAAAATTAAAATGGTAATAATTTCAAAATAAGTAGCAAAATAGCAAGAGTCTGGTGTCAAATAAGGCCTAATTATATAAATGTATACGTACAATAAAGTAAAAAATAGAAATATAGTAATATAAATACAGTATATCACAGTTATTTACAAGAGGTCATGAGGAAAAACAATGCAAAGACAGAAGAAAGTAGTAAACATTCAGGGGAAAAAAAACAAAAAAAACCCTGAAAGATAGGGGAGTCTTAACTTTTGACTGGTAGTGTATTGGCCTAGAAGATCAGTCAAGTTGCATCAAAAAGTTGTATCATACCATTGTACTATTGTATTATACTATAACTGCAACTTTAGAATCCATTTAGCCACAGTTTGCATTTTAATTTGTACAAATATACTTCTGGAAATGGGTTGCCTCAAGGGTCGGGCATAGGGCCTTTGATAAACATACAAGAGCTGTTTTTCAAAATAAAAATTGAATGTTAGCTTTGTGACTCGGAAGGTTAGTTGTTTCTTTGGTGGAATTACAGCTAAAATTTTTCCAAAAAATATCGCCGGCTAGCTTGGCGACGTTAGCATGTTCCTGTCAAAGCAATACGTGTTTAGTGTACGTTTTTGTCATTTTATTTGCAGGTACAACACATATAATACAGTAAGCTTCATTCCGGATTTTTCATTAGCGGTATTTGTTCTTGTTAGCTCAGGGAACATTCTGGATTAGATTGTAATACGCATCAGGAATTTTCGTTCACTCATAACTCATAAACGTTGTGTTCTAACGCCATACTGTAACGTAGCTATAGCCTACCTGAACTCTCCAAACCTCTGCTTCCCTTTAATTAATGTTGTATAATATTTTGTACATAAATGGTGAAATGGGCATTGCTTATTGATATATGCAAATGAAATATGGAAATATGTAAATTGTTTGCCAATCACTCAACCAAGTTTGCGATGTATAGCTTAAAATCTTTCCGTAATAATTTTTGCTTTTTTGTTTCTTTGTTTTGAAATTGTTTATTTTCTTTAAGAGCTAATCTATTTTATCACTTTATTTTAAAAAGAAAAGACATATTTGAATTTTAGGTGATGCCAAAATTTGTACGTGGAATTGTTTGACCAGCTGGTGCTAATCAGTAGCCAACTGCGTTTCGTTTTTTTTCTATGAAACTGTTCATATTGTACGAGAAGAAGAGGACTTGTGTATTTTTCTAGCTGTCCAGTATTTATACCCACATTTTGTACTGTCAGGCTCTAGTGCGATTGTCATGCTTCGATCCTTCTCTCCTCATCTCTCCTGGTTCCTTTGTAAAAGAGAAATGGTGACCAGCAGTGTTACTTTGGTAATGTTATTGTTATTATTAATATGATTATTATTACTGCGTGCAATTTTGTCTGTTACACTAGACTTTAATGCTATATTTTATGTAACTATTTCCTAAATAAATATGAGAATTATTTCCTATTTCAAACTCTATATGTGTAACGTCTTTATTCACAGTTGTGTTTCAGCAGGTGAGTTACTGAAGGCAGTACATCATGTCACCTGCATCATTTCACTTCAGAATATCTCCATGGAGATGGATGCATTTTATGCCATACTGTATGCCTAGTGCCTCCGCTCAATTTCATTTCTCTCCAGTGACTAGGTCAGGAATAAGAATACACTAGATGGTTTGCAAGAACCCTGGAAGTGCAAGTCCGGGGACCAGCTAATCAGCGAAGAGCCATATAGTCTGTGTTGGCAACGATTTCCGAGATCGAGGATTTAAAGCCGGGACAAAGAGAATGTTTAGTGAATTTTATCAAGGGGAAAGACGTTATTGCCCTTCTTCCTACGGGATTTGGGAAAAGCTTAATATACCAGTTAGCCCCGTTAGCGGGGCATTACATACGTCACGACCAAATAGCAGCAATTGGTTAAATAAAAAAAAAGGTTTCACTTGGGTGAAACGCTAGAAGATTATAGCCAAAGGAACAACATTTCTGCAGCAGGTTTGTGGGGATGCAAGCCTGCAAGGACACTTTTTGTCTTTGTCTGTTTTTTATATATATATATATATATATATATATATATATATATTATATATATATATATATATCTTTCATTTAGTCTTTTTTTTTTTTTTTGCCTGAAAAGTTACTCACTGTGGCTTTAATTAACTTAACTATATATCTAGACCATTGCCCAGTGGTGCATATTCATATGAGAGAAACAAACTCCAGCAGAACAGATGCCTGTCATCCCGTATGACAAGACAAATGTCGTGTTGGCTATTAGGATAATTAATTAGGATAGAAGCCTGTAACTCCTGATGACAAATGATGTTGTAGTGCGTTTCACTGTTGCAGTGCAGGCTCCAGAGCTGCCTGTGCTGCAACTACGGATTAAAAGACCAATCAACCAGCCTTTATAAGTTGGCCTATGTCTTATCCTTGACTTTAATACATTCAGTTAGTTTTCGGAAAGCCTAAACATATTTTAATAATTTGCATGAAACATGCAGGCCTGGTCTGAATTCTACTTGGATATTGCTTACAGCCTATAGGCCTAATTAATGAGCCTACTACTTTGGACACATTTTTGCATATGCGCTTTGCTGTGAGCAGTAAATAGTGAATAGGCTGAGCCAAATTATGATTTAGCCTAATCGCTGGTTTAGGCTTTGTGTGATTTTATTGTTTCCTTTTACGTAAACTGTGAGATGTACGCGGTCACGTGACTTCTCGGTGGTCCCTCTCGCTCTCCTCTCTCCTCGCTCCTTTTACGCACAGCCTCTCCTCCAGCCCGGCCCCTCCACGGCAGCAGCGGCAGTCGGCTCCAGCGCTCTCTCCCTCCGCACCGCCACCGCCACCACTACCCTCCTCCTCCTCCTCCTCTTCTTCCTCCTGTTCCTCCTCCTCCACCGCCTCCATCCAGCGCGCGGAGCCGAGGATGAGCGCAGCGGCACGGGCGCACGGGCTCCCTCTCCTCCGCCCCTCTCCGCGCCTCCTCTGCCGGGCTGCCCTCCGTGGAGTGTCCGCCTGAAGTTCACTCCTCCGCGGACTCTACGCGCGCTCTCCTCCATGAGCCCTCCACTCTCCGGACACGATGCGTTTGCTCGTTTTTGCCACTTTGTTTGGAGTGCTTTTCGACGCAGGTACGTTCCAAACTCAATCATAAGAACAACTCCAAATATTACAGAACTGGACTTTTCTTATTCAGTTATAAAGACAGAACTTCATATCCGTGAACAAATGGCCTGTCGGAGTAAATTAAAGTTTGTGACGAAAACGTAACCATCTTCATTGCGTCCATGGAGTTTATATATAGAATCTGTTTTAGACTTAGTTGAAAAAAAAAAAAAAAGCTATATTTATCAAAAAATTCAATTCTTTTTTGTGTTTGCAAAATGTAGTCCACTGAGGTACCCTTCATAGTCTTTCTGTAATCACAAGACTTTTAAATTTCAATGTTCAGTAGCCTATGTATAATTTTGTTTTTGCATTGTTACTTAAAAGCTGAATTGAACTGAATCAGAAATCTGTTCATAGAAGCAAATTAATTAGACAACTCATATTGCATTCAGTTACATCGC